CATGGACAGGGAACGTCCCCGCAAAATTTTAGCATTCTATTTTTTCTGATTCCGGAGTTAGCGACTTACTCGCGAAAAACTTTCACGGGCCCGTACGTGGGTATTACGCATACCCGAGAGCTGGGTTTGAACTCATTAATATCTAGTTGGACCGGGGACATCCCCTTGAAATTTCAGCCTTTTAGCTTTTCAGGCTCTCGAATTAACATCTTACCCAGAAAAAATTTCGGCGGCCCGTACGTGAGTACCACGCAGGTAACAGCGCCCATTTCAGGGAGGGGGGCCTACACACGCATGTAAATTAAGTTCCTCAAGTTTCAGCCCCGTAGCTCTAATGGGTCTCGGGATGAAAAATCGGCACAGACGCGCAGTGCACACACAGACACACATACACACACAAACAGACACACGGACAACCTCTCGTCATTACGCTTTTTCTGCATTGCTTAGCTGCAAAAAAATGCACAACTATTCCAATTAACAAGTATTATGAAACAAAGAAGCTTTTAGAATTAATGCCGAAATCGAGAACTTGAAAATCAAGTAAACAAGAAATTCAAAATCTACGATTTTGATGATAGCTATCTCTATAGTAGGTACACCAGTGAAAATACGCGAAAACTTATAGCAACCGAACTCTTACCTTTCCAGTCTGTACAACATAAGCATTCACTGTAAACAGCCCACCGTGAACGTAGCAGTTTTTGGGCCAGAATATGCAAAATGGTTGTTTTACTCGTTGAGTGATCGCCGACAATCAGAATGTTATCAGTAGATGAAGCAATGGACTGCGCCAAATGAAGCAATACGTATTCGTAGCATGTTTCAACAAATGCGTTTTGAAATCTGAAAGCAAACAAACAATATTTGTAAATCCCAGAAAAAGCAAAAATTTAAAATTGTAACAGACAGACTGGAAAGCTCAAGGAAATGCTTTTAGCAGAATGTGCGGCCGAGTTTTCAATTAACTGCACGAAAAATAATGTTACTGAGGAAAAAGTACATCTGGGGAAGCTCAGCTGTTTATACGATGAAGGATGGCAAATAAAAAGAGGTGGCCAAAATTAGAAAATCAAATGGTACCCACGCGAAATTACACACATAAGGGAAGCTCCAGTGAGGAGAAGCTGTATGGAAACTTATATATCTTACGAGAAGTGCCAAGCTTGAAATGAAATAAATAGCAACGCGCACCAGACAAGCCAGTGCGATCATACGTTTTGTGCAATTCCTTCCACCGAACGATTGTCTGTTAATGATTTTCACTGCTTTGTACTTTAGTCCATGCAAAAATAGTTAAAAATTTCACGCATCGATACATGAGATCTTAAGCACCGGCACTACCGCAAAACTGCAGTTTCTTGGCTTTTATGGTTCCTGAGATAATAATTTCCTCGCCAAAATTTTCATGGGGATGTAGCTGATACCCGAGACAGCGGGGACGCTAAATTTGAATTTGCAAGGTCGTACGTGGGCAGGGGATCAATACCCTGAAATTTCAGCATCGTAGATTTTGTGGTTCCCAAGATAATAATTTACCCGGCAAAATTTTCACGGGACCTTCGTATCACCCGCGGGCAAGAAAAGGCTGAATTTAAATTTTTTTAGGTAGCAATTAGACAGGGGACATGTCCAAAGAACTTCAGCCTTCTAGCTTCCGCGGTTCCTATAATTTTACTCGCCCAAACTTTTACGGGGCTGTAAATGTTAACCGCGGGTACGGGGAGGCTAAATTTAAATTTGCGAGATCGCAGTGGATGGGGAAAGTTTCCCTAAATTTTCAGCTTCCTAGTTCTTGTGGTTCTCGAGTTGAAAGTTGCGGACAAGTTGTTGCGAGCACACACACACATACACACACAGACAACCCCGTGACAATATTCGTTTTGTACTGCTGTTACACAGCATAAAACGCATAAAAAACCGAAAAGTGACCAGATGTACCGATGGAAAGAAAGAGCACAACGATTCAGAAAGAAAAAAATGCGGGAAATTTAGAAAAATTCTAATTTCACTGGGCTGCCAAATGACAAAAAAACTTAGCAACTTACGTCAGATCAACCAGATCCATCTCGCATTCGCCAAAACAGCTGGGTATTTCATGAGCATTCTGCTTCAAATCCGTTTCATGACTTCCGCCACTGTCTTCTTGGCTTGAATTCTAGAAAAGAAAAATAACAGCATGAACATGACAGCTTGGCCGTAGTTTGAGCGGGAGTCAAAAATGCCTGCTATCTATAAAGAAGAAAAGCAAAAAATGAGTGGAAAGGCGAAAAATTCAGCCAGGATACAGGTATAACACTAAAAGTCCAATGCAAGTTTTTGTTAAATGAAGACGAAATTAAGCAAAAATAGCAATAAAATTAGCTAGAAAATGCAAAATACCAGTAGAAAAGCATTCGCTATCTGGTCCACAATGTAAAATAAAGGATCATTAAGAAAAGGAGCGCAGAAATAGAGAAAAGCCAGGAAAAAATTTTTTGGAGTGTTTTAGAATTGTTCAAAAAAATTCGAAAATAAGCAGAAAATCTCGTAGAACTAACAGAAAATTCAAGTAGTGGGAACATATCGCAAGTGAAAACAAAGCAATTTGGGTTCCCTTCTCCATCGGACTCAGCACTTTCTCGATGTTTGGTTCGAATAAGACACTGCTGATGCATCCCATCTGCAAAACGCCTTTTTTCAGCATTTAAAAAAAAATTAAACTTTTCATACCTGCCCAATTAGGACTTCAAATTTTTTTGTCTCTGCT